CAATGCTCGGCTTTTTTTTTTTTTTTTTTTTTTTTTTGATGGAAATATACATTCTTTTTGTACAACGTACGATGCAATTTTAAATCTCTAGGGGAAAAAGCATCGAGGTGGAATTTAAATTATTTGTGATATTTTAGCTTTGATCTTACAAAACTGAAACTTTCTACGAAAGACGAGCAAAGATAATACCGTGCTTTTATATTTATGCTTTTTTCGTACTTTTCCTATACTCGATTCGATGAAATTAACTTTGAAATGTCTTTTATACTAAGCACTTTTAATACCTTCATTTTCCAGGAGAATTAAAAACTAGATATCGAACGGTGTATGAAAAAAATGTATAGTTCCGTTTGAGGAAGCAAACGTCACTTTGAGATTTCCTAGAGATCAGAATTTGTTGAAAGAACGAATTTTATTTGAAACGTCTTCTTTCGGATAGCGTACAGTTTAGAAAGACATTTGAGTGGATCCATTAAAATGAGACGTTGTGTATACGCGGCTACCCCCACGCAGTCAACCGTGCCTGGGTCTATCTCGACCCACGTCTCGATGTAAGCCGAAACAAAGTCAACGTTAATTTTCAGTGAAAAGCACTTGCGTGTTTCCAATTTCTAAGCAGAATTCTGAAAGAGATCTTGTAATTTAAAAGTCTGTAGCCTTCATCTGGCATAAAGTGAAACACATAAATCCCACCGACGAAAATAAGAGAAAAAAATATATCTGACGCTATATACTGAGATATCACCAGACACATATACGGAGAGTTAAAAAAAAAAGAAAAGAAAAATGGTTACCTGAGCAAAATTTGTTATAGCACACTACGGATATTTATGCGAATTAATATTTTTTCACGCTAAAATTAAATTAAAAAAGAAAATGGAATTTAAGTGAATCTAAGTAAGAATTACCTACCAAACATTGTAACAGTTACTATACTTTTGATATTTTATAGATATACATTTTTCACGTTATATGGATTCTATGTATCTTTGCACTTTCAAATATTTATTTATTTATTTAACAGATAAATCCTTTGGTACAAGAGATAGAACGTGAAGGAAACGTATACATAAATATGTTTTACTCAACAATTTTACTCAATTTTCGTCTCTGATCTTATCTCAGGCAACGACATATCGTCTGAGACGTACAAGTGGAAACATTTTGATTGCTACGCCAAGATTTTAACGAAAAATGGTTATATAGGTCTCTGTAATACCGACTATTTATTACAGGCGAATGCGCAATCTAATAGATGCGTATTCCTTGTTTCGATTTCACTTGGATAAAACTGTCGATTCCACTTACGGTTAAGAAGCAAACAATAAACATTATAGAAGTATTCTTCTACGTTGCGTATCTTCATTATGTTCCATAGCATTGGAAATATAATAAAACTGTGAATATTCTGATCGTATTGTAGCTCAAGTGTGCAAAGTCCAAATACTAATACACGGTAGTGTATATACAAAAAAAGGAAGGTAAGGAAGAACGCGAAGAAAGGAGAAAGCAGAGTAAAATCGAAAATAAGTGTACCATAAATGCATAAAAATCCGCAGTTTGCTTATAGTTGCTCTTGGGTCGGCAACGAAGTGATTGCAGATTTTGTCAATACTAGCTAATGATAAAATCCACAGTCACTTAATTGTCAACCAATAGAACCGATTGCAAGCGAACGGGACAAATGTCGAAACGTATTTATCGAAACGGTTTAAGGATTTTCTAGACGCGGTCGATTCTATAGAAACCGATAACGACGAAAGTAAGGAGGTTGGTGCCAAGTGCCTTCGGAGGATGCGCCGCGTATTATGCTTGAACGATGCAAAAGAAACGTCAGAAAGAAGCTGAGGGTGAAAGTAGGCGCTCGCGCGAAAAAGACAGAGAGAGAGAGAAAGAGAGAAAGATGGAGAAAGCGCGTGCAGTGCACGAATCGCTGCTATGTGTTACGATTTAGTGGCAAAAAAAAGAATAAGGCGACAATGCTTTTGTTGCATGGATAAACAGGAGAAACGTGTATACTTTGTGAACCGCACCTTTGCCTAACTTTGGTGGTTTTACGTCAGTCCTTAAGTACGAGTCATCTGTAACGGCAGGTTGAGACACTTGAATTTTACAAAGGAGAACCGTTTTAATCACATTGGTTAAACGTAGGGCACTATTATAAAATGTATATAAGTAGTAATAGAGTAATATAGTATATAATAGTAATTTCAATAATAATAACGATAATAATAATAACAATAGTAATGATAATAATAAGAATAAGAATAAGAAGTAGTAGAAGAAAAATAATGTTAAGAATAATAATATAAGTATATATGAGTAACAATAATGATATAATGTATGAATAAGTACATATATATATATATAAACTATGTATTACAGCGGTTACAGTGATTCGACGGAAAAATAGAAGATAGAAGAAGATGAAGAAGACACACCTGGCAATGAGGCAGAGCTGGAACTAGAGTGTTTGTCGAACTCGTCCCCGGCGCCTGGTGTGTGCGTCAGTCGGAATAACAAAGCAGTTGTACAGCAGGGTTCAGGAAACTTAAACACCGCGTTACAACACGTGGCAGCGGTAACGTCGCGTTAGAATTAATTTTATTTTATTATAACACAATTTTTTAATTACATGGTTTTATCGTTAGAAGGAGAGGACGTCCATCAACGAATATTTGAAGAATTAATTTTACATTAATAAAACACACCTGGCATGTACATGAGATTGAAATTATATTCGTGGAATTTGGAAAAATAATAGGACTGAGAAGTCAGTCGTGGAATTACTTGGAAGAACCGCGTCGTACCGCTGTCACTGCATAAACCGTGGCGCAAAAACGTATTGTTAGATCTAACGAAGGTGCAGCCTGGCAGACAGTCACGGGCGTCTGTTCTGCTGCCTCCGAATCGAATGGAATCGGTATCGTTTAAACTCTGTGGTATCTAAAGAAGGAAAATCGAGAGAGAAAACGCGAACGATCGTAGGAACGACGTAAACGAAGAAAGCTAAGGGGCGGACGAACATTCACGCAGAGAGAACGGGATAGGCGGTAAAGCGTCGCAGAATAAATCCGTTGAACGTAACGAGCTAATGCTTCTAATGTGTCTAAGTGCGACGAAAGATCGAATGGAAAAGAAATGCGAATCCGTTCGTTTCGACGAGACGAATTATTCTCGTCGAGGCGAGTCGGATGGCGTGAACGCAAGAGACTGTGAAAATAAATTGGCCAGAAGATGATGATGGGAAGAGGTGGACCGATGAAAAGAAAAATCTACGCGAAACCAAGGGACGAAAGTTTCTTTCGCAGACAACAGAGAAACCGGGTGTGGCGCGTCTAACGATCAAAAGATTACGCACATGTTGCAGTTAGTGTGAATAGAGAATTTGAGAAAGCGGACAGATAACGTACCTGGTCCTCTCGCGTAAGGATCGCGTCCAGCTGGAACTTGTAGATAATCACGAGGCGATGGACTCGTGTGAGGTGCGTGGGTCAGAGCCTTCTGCACTAGACCTGTCAGGTTCGCCAGCTGTCTCTCCATGTGTTCTACCCTTATCCTAGACAAGGAACGAGCAAATTTCGGTTAACCGGCGCGTTTGTTACCACGGCCCGGACAGCACACAGTCTGTTTATGGATGTCGTAAAGACGTACGATTAATGTCCTGGAAACGTGTAGCGAAGATGCAGTTTGAACGTTCTGCGTTGCAGATTCAGGGCAGTTCAGTGGTAATAGCAACATTATTATAAAATAATTCCTGGTCTTTTGTAACGCATTGGGAAATTTAAAGAACGCATAGATACATAGGCTGTGCGTAGTTTGATTACAGTCGAATGCCGCATTGTAAAAATTAAAACGTTCCGATCAAGTCGTAGAATGGTGGAGCTTGAAACGGACGTGAAATGTACATACGTCTTTGAGACATCGTGTGCTGTCCGTGGGGTGGTTCCGGTTTCTGCATGTTGCAGAAACTGAGAATGGGATGAGACAAAATCTAAATCTAATCGGGCTTAGTATCTTCCAAAGAAGCGTTCCACAGGATGCACGTACGCTTAGATATAATAAAATATCAACTGACGATAATGAGAATCGCGTGCAAGGTTCGTTCCGCATAACTCGCGATCTTTCTAAAGCCTACGTCACCAGAAGGCTATACACAAAAGCGCTCAGATACACATTCTCTCTACGACCGCTAGTCGGCATGCTACATTCCACCGATCCGTATTTTCAGCGCAGAGCCGTTTTCCGGACGAAAGGGATGCCAATTTTCTCGAAATTCTCGTCCTTTCGATCGGACACGGCGGAATACACGGCGCATTCGAACAGTTGCTGGACCGATAGCTGACTTGTGTCTAACAGAAAAGCTTCCCAGCTAAGTATAATTTTCTTATTCGACGCACGGTTATCGACAAATTTTCGAAATTTTATCGAGTACGTGACACGATTATTCTTATTATGTTGCAGGTGGAGCTGATTTAAATATCGTGTTACTTATAATTCAGCAATATAAACCTTTCGTAAGTATATGTGCAATTAATTGAAGTTAAGAAGGATCGCTTTCTTTTTGCATTTTCTCAAAGAATATAATTTCAGAAATGTATGTATGGGAAAGTCTATGTCTGAACTCCTACAACTAACGAAGTTATACGTATACTGTTCGAGAAGCTTTTATACGAACGATTGTTATTGGTAACAAGAAATTTCAAATACGTTTTTCTCCGATCTATGTTTCGTAACGTGGCTTCAAATTTTCTGTGCACTTTCGATGCATGTGTGCGTCGTTGTGGCCTGAACTAGGACGAATTCAATACCTTTCTTTCTTCTGTTTCCTTAAGCTTCCGAAAATCAAATGATGGAACTTCATAGTGCAGCCATTTTTCTAATTATCGAGATTTTTCTTTTGTTCAAACTATAGTAAAACGGTTGGGATTATGGACCACGATGACAATGTGTATGTGGGCATGTAATACCACCGATTTTGATCTTTTTTCGCGGCAAAAAAACTAGATAGATTTTAGCAAAATATGTATAAATACAGTCTGAAAGTTTGACTGTAAAAAGTGTTACAGCAAATTTTGTACAAAAATTGCCTGACCTAAAAGAGCTTAGCGTTTTACACTTGGAGTACCCTGTTAAACGCTATTGTCCGGTTTATATCCTCGTAAAATAAGCAACAGGATATATAAGTCAGCATCTCGTAAGAGCAACAGTTTAGAATCGAAAATATTTGCTAAATATTATTAGGTCGTCCGAAAAGTTTCGTTTCACAAGGAAACAATAGATGCACAACGTTTTTTCTTTTATATTATTTTGATCCATTACTATTTTTATCCTACAATTTACATCGTATGATCGATTTTACATTACGTGCAGTATATTAATACGTGCAATAAAATATAATATAAAAATGTTTCGCATCTATTGCCTCTTTCTAATTTCTAGGAACTTGCCAGATAATCTAATAATAATAAATATTAATATTAATAATAAATATTAATATTTGTGTAAATAACATCAGTCCAGAAACTTGGGCGAAAATGCGCCGCCATATGCGTGTACCTGATAAACTCGAGCATTATGAGAAACGCAGGACCGTATCGAATTTTGCGTTTCTATATGGAACATAACTTATCGTTCTCCATGCATGCCTCGACGCATACTAACACATGCATTGAACGAACGACGACCATTCCTGGGCAGAGTGCGAGTTTTTCAATAGCCGTGAACGGAGGTATTATACGTGGATTTCGAGGCGAGGTTTCCTCAGGTCAATGGAATCGACGGGAATACCGATCGATGAACTCGAAACGGCTGATATATCGTGGAATATTATCCACCAGGCGCCAATAGCAACGACGAACGAGTATAAATAACTCGGCTAAGGGAGCCTAGAGGGAAGCCAGCGCGCTTTTCACTTTCCCTAGTCGTTACTCTCTCGCGATCCTCCGTTCTGCCGTGATAAATTTGTCAAGGCACCTACCATATCGATTGCTTCCTCTCCCCTGGGAACGGTAGTCGTCGTATCTATGGCTGACCATCACGACAAGAGCGACGCACAGTGGCCAAATTGAACGATGGACAATTACCGGATGATCAACGAAACATAGAACGACGAGAAAGCGAATGCAGCGACGAAAATACAGAAATTTTCTAACACATGGTGAATATTTAACGCTTAAATGATCTATGAGATCTACGTTCAGTTCGTCTCATTACTCGTCGCAGTTTATTACGATGTGACGACACGTACAATAATATTGGACTGGCAACTAAGTGATTGCGGATTTTGTCAATACCACCTAATGACAAAATCCGCAATCACTTAGTTGCCAAGCCAATATAACGATTACGATTTACCAGAATACAATTGGACCAAGCTGATAATTTCTGTCGAAGTGATTCGAAACGACGATCTTTATTTTGTGTATCGGTAAAATTTGTGCCACTGTGCGACGCGTTCGCAAGCGCATTCGTATATTCTGACCAGACGATATATAGCTTAAGTAGAGACAACCGGTCACGGTCAGACTCAGCATCTCCATTTACAGAGAATTTCGAGGTCTGAGGTCGCGGTTCTATCGAAAACTAGAGAAGGTAGCTGAGTACCGAGTAGCGTCGTAGCTCTGGCCACCGGATGGCAAAGGTGGCGGTGCCCCTGGAGGAAACGGGGATCGCGGAGGACCGGATGGCGGACGGCCTGGCGGTTTCACACCGTAAAGGCTGTACGATTCCTCCAACAGCTCCGTATCGCTGCACCACCCACAACAGAGATATACGTATCCGCGCTATCAGCCATCCACGAAAGTCGAATTCGAGATCGCCACGACCAACTTTTGCTTTACGTCGTTGATACGATGTATCTCGTCGCACGCGCTTTTTGTGGTTCTTTCTTTTTCTTTTTTTTTTTTTTTTGTCAGATAGACCGGGCTTCGGAGGAAGTTAAAGGAACGAAAGTAGCAAAAACGAACGATTACGATTGAAACATAAGGTGGTCTAAAATAACCGATGCCTAATAGTTTCTCAATTTTTACTTTCACGAATTATCAACGAGTTTTTAATAATTATTATGAAGACAAATAGAAGAGGTTTTCTTTTTTTTTTTTATAGAACACGTTCAAAGTAACTACCTTTATACCTTGTTCAAGTAGCATGCTGCTGTAGAGCAGCTTGACAAAATTTTGGAAAAGGCTCAGTTCAGCTTGCAACTACTCTTCTTCGTTCCCGTTTTCAATTGATAATTTTAATATTATTCGTCACAAGGCTAAAATAATATTACGCTCTCCGTAAGCTTTGTAACTCTTGTAAAATACTGTTGCAAAGTCGAATGGATACTTTCCACCGCAGTCTATTTTATACGTATACATATGAGAAGATTCTGTATAAATATTGAGAAATTAGCGAGAGAGTATGAGAAAATCAACATGAAACGACCGAAGCGGTGGTCCGTGGAACTCCGGTTACCTGGCTTCCTCGTCGATGACCGGTGTCACTGTTCCCGAATACTGCGAATAGTACGGGTCCTCGTAGCTGCTGCCAGCGCTGTAAGGACCAGGTGGATATCTGCCAGTTCCAGAGCCAACTCCTCCGCCTCTTTCTGGACTGCTCATATAACCGCTTTCCCCGTGCAATCGATCTGTAGAATCGCAAGGATTAGTACAACCACGTAGAGGGTAAACGATCCGCCTATGCAATCGAAAATTATTTTAATAAATTCGTAGTTTAGCGGGTGGAGAAAATTTTAAATTGCATTTATGGGTATCGCGATTCGAGAACGAAGATTATTATCGGTATCGATGGGGTCAAGAGAGAAAATGGACTATCCAGGTACAAGGTATAGCAGCATCGTGAAGTAATCTGATGATTTCGCTATACCTTGATCCAGACTATGCAGACTTCGAACGTGCTTCTTATGGGATGTCAAAGAGTTCTACGAATTTTTATTGGTGATAATAGGATCGGACACGATATCATGGGGTTGACGGCGATGCTCTACTTTAGATACTGTATACCACACATGGGGAAGGTTACGTATACATTGCAAGATACTTTGAGAGTGTTCCAAGGGGTCGCGTCTCGTTCGACCGAATCTCAAAAATGCCAATCTCAGGCCTCTCTCTCTCTCTTTCTTTCTTTCTCTTTCACTCTCTTTCGAAGCCATTCCGTTACGACCAAACCGCCTCCAAAATAGTCAAAATCTTCAGAGTCAATTGGGCAATGTTATGCAAAAACCTATCAACCTTCAACGATCTGAAATCGAGTGAATTTAGTGTGAAGTTTTTAATTTCAAAGAAAAGTAGCTTTATCACTGTTGCAGCTATTTCCTATACTTTATTTCTTTTTGTTGTTTCTGCGTGTTTTTTAATGGCTCGTCTAGTAGTATAATTAATATTATTTAAAATTGTCTATGCGGTTGTCTATTGGCTGGTATTACTCGGTAATTTCAGTTTCGGTATGATCAGCATATTGGCAGACGCGTAAAAGTATAATGTTAACACTTTACCGACCGCTAGCGGTTCAACAGCAAACGCACGTCCGACCGACAGCTCAGGCGCGGATTCTCCCTGGCGCCGGCTCTGTTTCGGTTTAGACTCCCCAATACCATTCTTTTCGTTCATCGCGAATAGTAAGTTTTTCAAATTGGTATAAAACTGTGGCAGCTTACAAAGCAACGCAGCTGACGCAACTGAGCGAGGTACCTTAGTATTATGTAACAAATTACTGCTCAAATAATGAAAAAGATTGTCGGCGACAAAAAGCCGATTAATATGCTATCGATCGGTAAGCGTCGGTGACAAAAAGCCGATTAATAGGCTATCGGTCGGTAAGCGTCGGCGACAAAAAGCCGATTAATAAAGTGTTAAAATTAAAGCGTTAAATAAAAGTAAAGTGTTAAAATTAATTGCCTCGAGTGAGTTTCTTTACGTTTATCGTATCAAGAGGATGAAGAACCGATGCTGCGTGTCTTTCACTCTCAGCCAAGTAGTTTGCAAGTTTTCTGCAAAATAACTGACGAGCCTAAAATGAGACAGTTTCAATAATTTTATAATGCAAGAATTGTTTTGCAAAACCAGAGATCGCAAAATTATTCACATTACAGATCACAATTTTATCTAATTCGTTCTTATTTTGAGGGTTGCAGGATTCCTGCGTAATATGGCCCAGTTAACAAGCTGGATATCGAGATGGATAACATTCCCGAAAATATACTTTGTCAAACTGGAAATATATTTTTCACTTTTGCTCGATGAAACAGTGAGTTCCTCGCCCCTCGGTTCGTAGCCGAGTTTCTACCGGCTGTGAATCTTCTTGCCAGCGGATCCATCCGTGTCAACTCTGGCGTACGAATCCGAGCGACCACGAGATCGCGTATTGTCTAACGACCCAATACGGAAACCCTCGACCTCGTTTTCTTTTCTCCACACACAGTTTCGATCTTCGAACGAGCCACGCCACCGGAGAGAGAGAAATATCGGGTTTGGCATCGAGAAAGATCGCGGATCGAAAATCGGGCAAACTTAACGCAGAGAGCCGGTCGCGATCGACTGAAAAGGACCGAGAGGCAGAGCTGGGCATAGTTCGAGTAGACTTCTATCTAGACAAATAAATTATTCGAAACTTATTCATCGATACCTCGTTATTTGTCATTTTGCATCAAGACTAGTCGTTCACAGATGCCAATCCTTTTACTGCACATTAACCTCGAGAAACAAATTATTCCAAAATTCAGTTTCTAATTTTCTAACCAATTTATATTTCGTCAACGTATTTTCTAACCGTGAGTAACAAAATTGACTAAAAATTTGCGTCATTATATTCGCCTGGTTATCTCTACGCGCACAGCCAGTCGAAATAAACAGAAAATAAAATATAATATATAATAAATAATATACAGGATGGTTGGTAATTGATTGGTACAAGCGGAAAGGGGGTGATTCTACGCGAAAAAAGGAGTCGAAAATATAGAATACAAATTTTTCGTTTGAGGCTTTGTTTTCGAGAAAATCGACTTTGAATTTTCGCTCGGTACGCGTCCACTTTATCGCGTCTCGTTATAACGGATCTTGCTGTAGATTTTTAAAAAAATTAAAAAAAAAAATTTGTATTCTATATTTTCGACTTCCTTTTTCGCGTAGAATCACCCCCTTTCCGCTTGTATCCCCAGTTACCAACCACCCTGTATATTAATATACATTAACAAATAATAAATAATATATATGTATAATAAATAAAATAAAATTCGCCAATAACATTCGATTCAAATTTCCTCATCTTTATTTGTTATTCGTCGTTCGAATCAATTTTGCCCAACTCTGGTCCGAGGTTTCCAGAGGGTTGTTTTAAGGCTACTACTGACCTGCTATACTATAGAGGGAGACCGAGCTGTCTCTAGAGAAGCGAGCCGAGCCCCCGAGGCTTCCAAGGGGACTCTTACCACACTGGTAGCTGCGAAGCGGCTTGGCCGGCGGCACCCCGCCACCACCTATCCAACCATCCGGAAAACCAAACAAAAACCAATGTACCCAGCTGGTCCGGTGTACGTCGCGTTTCTGCCCGACGTTCGTTCCTTTGCTAATTCGCGACTGGTGAAAGTGCACGGTATCGCGACTCGGAAATATTGGGTTGGCAACTAAGTGATTGCGGATTTTCTCATTAGGTGGTAATGACAAAACTCGCAATCACTTAGTTGCCAAGCCAATAATCGGAGAATATTGGCGAATTAGACGACGAACGTGAGAAAATCGATGCTCTATATAACACGCTGTGTTTCCTGTATAAATAAATAGCCCCATTTTATAAAAAAAATTGTACCTTTACATGGGCAAACAGGTTTTGCCTATATAATCTTCTCTCGTATTATACGCGATCGTTGTACAGCGTACGTTATACGAATTGATCGGAGGACAAAGGTATTGGCAGATGAAAGAGAATTTTTGCGTGACAAAACGATCAGCAGTTGGCAGTTGGTCTGATTTAATACTTGATATGGAATGAAATAAAATTAATGCAATTTGTTTGTGGGTGACAGCATACGTAGAATATAAAATCAAAAAGGCAATATCCTTCTTTTAACGGAATTAAAGAAATCGAACTGCTAGATGGCAAACTTTTTTGAATAAATTACGTGGGCTTGAAAACAGCTCACAGTTTTCAGACGTGTAAATGCCTGTAAATTAGGTGACACATCATTATCATCTTCTTTATTGCTGTCACTTTCGTACGTTTCATATAATAAAACGTTCACACAGCGGATGTTCGTATAACGCAGGCTCTACTCTAACGACTAATTTGTTATTATTAGATAGGCGAGTATGAAACGTCGTTCTGTACGACAAGACTCGAATTTCTAAAACTTCGTATATTTAATCAAAATAATTCCAACGTCGTTCGACAAAACTTTCTCAAAAACTATTTCGTTTCGTTATTGCGGAATATGAATTTTCCAATAAAACAAGTCATTTATAATTCTCCTTAAAGTAATTAAAGTGATTTACGCGTTAAAGAATCGCTTAGATGGAGCAGGAAACGTCTTAAACCGCTCCAAAATGCTAATTTCTAGAAACTATTTTTCCAAATTGAAGTTTACGTAAAGAAACCGTACGAACTTTCTGATTATATATTAACGTCGCGATAAAGAAGTTTTATATTTTTCATCATAAATCTTCCTTATTAATCATCGAATGCATCGATTTATCTCAAATTTCATAACGAGAAACAGGCGCATATCGTGCATCAACCTAATTACTTCACAACTACGTAACCGAATTTATGAAAAAACCAACAGGAAATATTAATTGTTTTTAGCTTTCGATTTTAAAATGGGGCGTTTCGTAACACATGCTTCGTCAATACGCGTGACAAAATGCATCTTATGTATTGTAACGATTAAATCACTATTTTACACTGTTCTTAATGAGATGTCACAAACGAACAGTTTTTTCCCTTTAAAGCGTCGTTGCTCCAAGATCGCTTGTGTATTATGCACTTTTCCAGGGCGTCGTAGCAAAGGCGCGAAGCGGATGGTCGTCGATCGTAGTTTGTCAGACGACAGTCGGGACTCGAGTCGACGAACGTGTTCGCGCAATCGAGACGACCTCACGCGATCGCCGATCTCACGGACGGCGCGTGTACATTGCACAAGGATTCGGTGCTTGCATCCGCAAGGGACGAAAAGCGTTGGATCGGTGCGTTACTTTCCATCGAACGATGCGAACGAGTATACAAGCTGAGGAAAGTATTCCAACATTTGTGACGAGCTTTTCCTGTAGCGACACGGTTATTTCGAAAATTGTATGCCACAGAATCATCAAGCGGAAATGAGTTTTTATTCAAATGGATGGGAGTCGTTGCTAAATAACACTTTGACCGCCACGCAGAAATCACATGTTTCGCTCAGGACGCCACGGGAGTATTTTTATCATTCAAAGCATATAATGGCAAAATAATGATAAATTGATGATGTAAGACAACATTCTTCCCCAATGGACCGTTTATCTTATTGGTGGTCATGGGTGACCACCGTGGCACCTTGGTAACAGTTGATAGCGACATATTATAACAAGGCTTCGTTTATTTCAACAAACAATTCGCTTTCGTTATTTCGTCGTAGGCAAAACGTGCGGAATATATTGTTGAAACGTGTAGAAAATATTAATAAACAGTATTAGAATTATTTTTAATGATTTCGATGAAACGTTCGGCTGAAATGGTACAGGTCCGCAAGAAAAATTATGTTTGCGATAAACCAATGGTAGTGTAGATTACAAGAAAGAAAAATGCGCTGTAGATTTATCACATCAAATGTAGCATATTCTACACCACATAGAAGGACCCTCGAGTGGTATATAAAATTAGCTTTAGAGTTATTGTTAAATACATCAATTTCAAACGCGATGATACTCTATAAACAAGCAACAAAACTAAAAATCAAGTTATCAGATTTTAGAATGGCACTCGCAATGCACCTTACGCAGTGCCATTCGCCAGAACCGTCAAATATACTTATTCGACAAAGATTGCGACACGAAATGCAGAAGAAAGAAGGGCAGGCGTACCTGGCACAAAAATTTTGCAGAGAGTGGTATAAAAAAATGTTAAACAGTTGGGATGAAAAATTGCTATGAATCGGACCAAAAAGGTGATCATCGTCCAGATTGTATCGACGAGCCACATTTATGTTTGAAGTGTTTTAAGGGGGTATTCCGGTCTAGAGGCATGAATTTTTGAAGCTCTGTACAAGCGAAACAAAAAATACTTTTGCTATCCTCCTTTTTAGCATTTGTTTATTGATATTTCGAGATTACGTAAAAAATTCACTGAAAAAAAGAACTCAATATTTAAAAAGTTATGAGCTGGCAAAGTGGGTGCTGCCAAAAAAATGGGGTGTCGTGGCGTGCATGATATCAACCCTTCTGGTCATTTGAAACAAAAAAAGCGAGCAGATTCTTAATTAGTATGGATGCCGCTATCGTCTGAATCTTGGAAAAGTCAATACAATATTTTTTCACAAAATGACGGCCGTTTGAAACAAAATTTCTTAATTCACACGTTTTTTTGGCAATTCCGAACGTTTAAAGATAGTAATATTAAAGATTTTGAGCTGAGCGTGGTCCGGACGATAGAGGAATATATAAGGAATATTCAGACCAAATTTATAATAAATCGGTTCATTAGAACTTGAGATATCGTGCATGCCAACTCGAAAAAAGTAGTTTCGAGAAAAACGCGTTTAAAGTTTTGAGACAAGTTTACTCAGACAACGTCTACCGTCTACTGTTCATTTGTTCCGGTCGGACCGAAGCAGATGCTGCGTCTCAAAAATGGCTGTAACTCATAAAATAATTTAAATTTTGAAAAATTCTCTTAAGGGCATATTCTTGAATGTCTAAACTTTGGAAATATGGAAAAAAAAATTTCGATTTTTTCAAATTTCTAGACCAGAATACCCCCTTAACACAGTGCACAGTTAGATGCAAGATTTCTTCTCATTTTTTTTATTGATGTTCTAATAAAAATGTTTGATTGTTCAATGCGGCACTTTTTATTTCAAAGTATCTTCTATTTATCGGTTATATTCAAAATGCCCTAACTGACAATTTTCATTCAATTTTTACAATTGTAGGAACGTGATAGTCAAAGTGTTAATGAAAGCGATTGAAAATGGGTTAAGCCTCAACTGTTTCGATTACGAATAACCATCATAAAAGATTAAAATTTTTTTTTGAATGCTGGTATCGATAAACCATTAACGTTCTTTTTGGTTAAATCGTTAGTTTGGTTACCGATAACCATTGAAAAATTGTCCGCCATTGATAAAGAAAACGGTCATTCGTAATCAAAATCATTTGAATAAAAATATAAATATGACAAATATTTAGAGCGTGGCCTGCTCACCAATTTCAACGACGTTGAAATACCTCGTCAAACTCGTCATTCTGAACAATTTTTTTCTATATATGTTCCGCTGCTCGGCTTTAATTTCCGAGATATTCGTAAAAAGCTTTTGAAATTTGCTTGGTAATATTGGCTTGGCAACTAAGTGATTGCGGATTTTGTCAATACCACCTAATGACAAAACCCGCAATAACTTAGTTGCCCAATCTGGTCTCTGAATATGGCGCATTTTACAGCACGTGACAAGTACTGCAGGAGCTGATTTAGTAAACTAAAATGAGGGGAATAAAGATCGTACGAACGTACATGCTCCGTATGACCTTGTTTTCGAGTCACAACCTTATTTTTCCACGGAACAGACTTCCGTGCAGATACGACGAGATTGAATGTCACGTGATGGATATGATAAAACGTATGTGGTTGTTGTGCCATGCAGCTCCTAAAACGTTACTTGGGCCGACTGTTTCCCGACAAATGGATGGGTCGTGCTGGCCTCACATCCTGGCTAGCTTCACCTCCAAACTTGAATTCGCTGCTTTAAAGTCCGTAGTTTATAATAAAACGTCACAGTGAACGTTGACAGTGTTTCAACACTTTGTCAACACGTCGACTAAAATCACCGACAAATTCGTCCAAGACCAGGTCAGTTCAAACGAGTTGAAAATCCATGAAACGACGTATACACGTTTGTATTAAAACTGGAAGTTGTGGCTTGAAGCAGTTTCTCTGACGATATATAAGCAACTACTAGAACACGAAATGAGCTGTAACTGGAAAACAAGGTCGTACCGAGCATACGTATGTTTGTACGGAAGTTTCTTTTTATTTTAGTCTGCTGAATCGTGGTCCCAACGTGTCCTGAAACGCTCTGTACATTGCGTGTGTCGTACGAGACATTTCGAAGTTTCATTAAGCATTGTTACGAGACTTGAGTTTTATAGACGTAAAAGCTTTTTAAAAGCGTTCAAATACTTTCCTCAGCCAACGTACACGGCGACTGCTGTAATTAGATCAAACCATAACATAGTGGAAGATAGGAAAAGATTTCGTTAAGCAAAACATTGGAACGGTTTGAAAGAAATGTCTACGAAAAAGTAATCTCTTTAATCGCTGTAAACGTGTTTAGCGAAACGTTCGTCTATATTCCATCGTCTGAAACTTACATATGGTTTGGCCTAGTTGCGAGGAACACCCTGTGTACTTGTATATTTCGCGTCACCTCCTCCGAATCGTTGCAACGGAGGCAACGCGAGACTCGTTCGACCGCCACAGAGAAGAGGAACGATCGAGCGTTTTTTTAGTAACAAGCGAGGTGAAGGACGAGTAACAACGAGTATGCAGCAACGTTAGGAGCATCGGACGGTTAAAATAAATCCGATTGAAACGAGTGACAGCGTGCGGAAAATGCAGCGAGCAGAGGAATTAATCAGCCGTCTATGTCGTTCCGGACACCTGCAGGTCCGAACACACGACGAGAATCGTTGCAATGTCGTCGGGCGGATGCATTCTTCGTGGAAAGTCGGCTGAAGCTGAAGGGAGAACGTGGTGCAAGCATGGAGCAAACATGACAAGCACAGGCAGGAGGAAAAGCGACCAATTGACGCTCGAGACTCGATTCCCGAAACCACGCGATTCCCATCCTCGAGAACTTGCCCGGTCCACCGATCACGAAGCGTCGTTTCATAGAAGCGTAAGCGTCGTCTATTGGAGACGACGATACGTCTACGCTGCTGTTTAGTTCATAAAACGTACAGTAAAGGTAATTGTAAGTTTACGCCAAGTCCGTGTTTGTTGGAAAATCCGCAGCACGAAAAGATTGGCTGTGACGGATATATCTGCAGACAATCGTCTTAACACTTAGCCAACCGCCAAGCCAATCTATAACGCTGTGCACGTCGAATTTTTCCAAGTATCGAGCACTAATGTTCGTTACTTAAGAAACAAACGAGTCTAAAAATGATTTAAGCGGTGAAGTACATTTTGCGGTGGTGATTTTCTTTAATGATTGCACGTATTGTTTATAGAAAACGTGAAATTGAAAGTATCTAAAAGTGTAAAAAAATATAGGTAAAATTGAAAACATTAACGATGATTAAAGATAAATAACAGGACTTGAAGGTGAAATTAAAAATTCATAATGCATTTCAATATTCTTTTACAGTTTGCTATCGTTCGATTATATTGGATTGGCAACTAAGTGATTGCGGATTTTGTCGTTAAGTGATAATGGCAAAATCCGCAACCACTTAGTTGCCAATCCAATAACTTTAATTACCCATAACTGACAGTGTAACTTTTTAATTAATTTCAACGCCACTAAATTCGTATATTTCATTATATACTGTAGTTTATAAAGGTAGAAAAAGTGGTGCAACTAATTGGCAATAATTCCAGGTAAACACTAATTGATAATAACAAAGAAAAATTTTGGTTTTACAATTTCATTTTAAAATTCCTACTTCATGTTATATTTTTTCCGCAATGATGTAATAACTTTCGCGACGATAGCTAAAAGAACGATATAATGAATTTTATTTTGTCTTTTATGTATTCAAACTGAAGCTAATTTTGTATTAGGGCTACTTATACCAATACCAGTCAAAATGACTGGTACTTGTCAATGTAAAAGGGTGCTGCAATCTGTTTATCGAACCCCAATTAACCAGTTTCCCCATTTTCTACAACTTGCCATACGTTTTTCCAATTTTTCGATATGACGATATCAGTTATCAGGAAAATTCCGGATCGATCGCTGAATCGCTAGATGCTAACATTAGAAACACCACACCAGTCAAAATGACTGGTTCTAGAATTTTTTTTTATAAATGTGTCAACCCTTGTTTAGGGATTATGGCCCCGTATGGATTAATAATGCCAAAAATGTACTATATAACATGGAATTCCTTCCGTGAGAGAGTAATAAATCAATAAATACAAAAATATTCTATTATTAGGTATTTTTTAAAGACCAGTCGTTTTCACTGGTTTTGATAGAAATATCTTCGTGTTAATTATCGGTAGTTCTAGTGTTAATACGCTTATTAGACAGGCGCGGGACGCTTCGTGAACAGTGGACCTAGTGGCGTGATCGGCTTTCTAAGGTTGAGTCTCGAGTATCGCGGATTTTCGTGTACCTGGAGTGGCGAGAGGTTTCGGTTGAGTAGGCGTTGCATTGGGTCCTCCGACTACCGACGACGCCGCAGGACTGTACGCTCTCATTAGTTGGCCTCCGCGTGGCAGGGTGCTGCTTCCTCCGACGTAGTATCCGCTGTTTCCGGAAGTCGAGTTCTTCGCCGTCTAAAACACAGATGGCGCGTCGAAACGTTACTCGTCTGACATAATCGACTGATACGACAAGTGGTAGTTGAGGCGAAAGGGACACATATTAAACGGGACATTATACACATGTACATAGCAATGACAGTAGTAGAGTCTCGATTATCCGAGCTGATGTGCACCGAGCCTATCAAGCGTACCAAGCCTATCGGATAATCGCAAACTCGGATAATAAGATCATAAGAAACATTTTGATTGTGTAATATTACAGATGTATTGGGTTGGCAATATTTTGTCAATACCAGCTAATGACAAAAACCGCAATCACTTAGTTGTAAGTCCAATATTTAACATTGATTAACTATTTAATTGATTCAATCGATCCAACTATTTAATTGATCAATCGCATTTAAGATAGTCGCCTATTTACTCTTTTGTGCTCTTTACGTTAAATTTTCGAAAAAAAGGGAAGAGTGGAATTTTGACAAAGTTCAAAGTATCTCGAATAATACGGAACATCGGTCAAACTAAGTGATTGCGGATTTTGTCAATATCAGCTAATGACAAAAGCCGCAATCACTTAGTTGCCAACCCAATATTTAACACGAATTAACTATTTAATTAATTCAATAAATCCTACTATTTATTTGATCATTTGAACATTAACAATAGTCGTTTATTTACTGTTTTGTGCTCTTTAGGTTAAATTTTCGAAAAAAAAGGGAAGAGTGCAGTTGTGGCAAAGTTCAAACATCGATTAAATGGGACTCGGATAACCCATGTCCCGCAGACTGCACTGTACGCAAAAGATGATAGATCTTTGCATTTTCGCATTTCAGTCAGAATCCCATGGCTAAAATGCCATAGTATATACTACAATGATAAGACAGAATCTATTTTGCATTACCAAGGAGGCTGATATATTGGGTTGGCAACTAAGTGTTTGCGGATTTTGTCATTACCACCTAATGACAAAATCTGCCATTAGTTGCCATTAGGTGGCAATGACAAAATCTGCAATCACTCAGTTGCCAACCCAATACATGTATGCATAAGGTACTAAGTATATTCGATGTAGCATGTATGTATGTGTATCTGCATGCGTAAATGTGTAAAGTAATGTATATATATATATTATACATAATAATAAGGATAGAATATTAAGGATATATATTATAAGGATATATTATAAGGATAGGTATAATTTTACAGACAAATAGAATTATAATATAAAAAGGGTAACCTCGCAGTATATTGAGATATTATGGAGTGGTGCTGTGTTACATTAATACCATGCTATCGACTGTTGCTTTTGGATGTGCTGTTGATCTTAAAATTAGATTATTTCCATTTATGTATTATTCCTTACATTGGCAAGCAGATCATGGTTTAATTCCAACGATATGCAACGTGAATGGAGCGTCGATAACACCTACAAATTATTAGTATTGATAAATTCTCTCTTGTATAATGGTAACAAGTGTAATAATAAAACCGATGAAATTTGTTCAAATGCTAAAGTTCGAGTATCCTGTTAGAATGAGAAAAGTCTCGTAGAAATGAAAAAGGTTTTTCTAATAAGATAAACTTGTAACTTGTCGATTCCATGAACTAAATCTTGGTTACATGGTTTACGTGTATTGCATGTTATTTATTTATTTAACGAATTACACCAGTACATGACGCGAAATATAAAAGAACGAGCGCTAATTTTTAAGCCACGATTTGTACAATTTTATATAAATTAATAATATGCATACTTCAGAGGAAATTCTATTATATTCGTAACAAAAAGGAAATCAACGATTTCGGTAACGTCGTACGCAGTTGAACAAAATCTCCTGATACGATCCAAGTTACCTAAGCTATCCTCCGATATGCAGCTATACGAAGAAATTGCCTCCTTCTAACAGATAATTAAAAACATATAATTTAAACAGTTCCAAGATTTCTGAACGATCAACGAACCGATCGAAGATTTTAACCCTATCGTCTGCACATACTGTCGTTTAAGGGCATGCAGCTTTTCTTAGACTTTTGTGTTCCAAAAAATCCCCAAAAATTCTTGTATACTCTGCCCAGTTTCTACAACGTCATCCTATAGTTTCACCGTGTTAGCTTTTCTTAAGCAGAGCAAAATTTAAACAAAGATATGGAAAAAATGCAAGTTTACTTAAAATTACTAGTCGAAAACCACCAAATATACCGATGGAGGGTTCAAAAGTACGACCACGTCCTCTTTGGTTCTACGCTTTGTTCCAACGTGAGCATATTCAAATTGTCAACACTTTACCGACCGCTAGCGGTTCAACAGCATACGCACGTCCGACCGGCAGCTCAGGCGCAGATTCTCCTTGGCGCTGGCTTTGTTTCGGTTTAGACTCTCCAATACCATTCTTTTCGTTCATCGCGAACGGTAAGTTTTTCAAATTGATATAAAACTGTAGGAGCTTACAAAGCAACGCGACTGACGCAACTGAGCAAGATACCTTAGTACTAAGTAACAAATTACTGCTCAAATAATGAGAAAGATTGTCGACGACAAATTGCCGATTAATATGCTATCGATCGGTAAGCGTCGGCGACAAAAAGCCGATTAATAGGCTATCGGTCGGTAAGCGTCAGCGACAAGAAGCCGATTAATCAGCTATCGGTCAGCAAAGTATTAAGAATATCTTCATTTTTCAGTTGTGGCAAGTTTCGACTCTTGCGTGTGTTCACTGGCGGAGAAAAAACGTATGCAAGCAACTACCGGTAGAAAGTAATACGCAAAGCATTTCGAGCGTGCATTCGATCCTCGGACGACAAGAATCTTATGCGAAACATGACTTTTCATTTTTGTGAAAATGCGAACGTTCCGGTTTGAGAGGAAACGCGCGCAAGACAAACAAAAGAAGGAGACGCGGACATAGTCGCGGTGTCGTTTCGTCCAACGATGACGAAGATAATATTCGTGTAAATCAAGGCAGACTGTGTCTTCTCGTCTCGTTTTTACGCGAAGGTCGCGGTAAACCGACGTGTCGTCGATTTCACTCTGATTTTACGATTCATCAAGTCTCGGCAAACTTTCGCGTTTACCTCGACCAACGAGACAGATCACACATGCAGATAACTACGTTGCAACGTGAACAAATTCCTTAAAAGCTTTGTGTACACTTGTATTTACGTATATAAATAGGTTGACGTCTTAGATACACGAGATCACCTAAATTTTTATTTAGGTCTTCTTTACCATCTTATGGAAAGATCTTCCAGTTGACAAAGTTCTAGCATTGCACGCAAGGGCACGCGTAGCGCTGGAAAGAGCCCTTTCTCAAAGTCATTTTGTCACGAGCTTTCGAGGTGATATTTTTAAACGGAACCTTTTTTTCATCCATCTAAAGCTACAAAGAAATTGCACGGTCCGTGTTTTAAGTAAAAGCCGGTTCCATGCGAAACTCGTTCGGTTCCTGCACAGTGTTCTTCCTTGTTTTTCATAAAATTCGATATGTAATATTCGAAATTGATACGAAAATGACGTAATATAGGAAAAGTTTATCGTTTAGTGAGAGCGGTAATTTACGCCCAGGTAATACAATCTAACTCAATCTTTTAAATTTGACGTCTAGTTGCTTTCTCTTTGCCTTTACTTTGATTTATTATTTCCTCGTACACAGCCGTTGAAAATATTCGATCGAAAATTATCTAAATATACCTCGTGTCCAATAGCCATTTAATAAGACACAATACGGTAAAAATAATACGAAGTTAACATTTGTTTATAATAATAGAATGATCGCAAAATCAAAAGGATAGGAGAAATTTGATTTTTCTTATTTTGCTGAATAACATATAAACAAAAACGCGGATTGTTGCTCTCTTGAAACAGTTGCATAAGTTTATGTTTATTAACCAGGCGAAGGAGCTGCCTAAATATTAGCCAGGCAACACTATGTTTTTTATAGGATGCTGATATTTTGAAATGGCTTCTTTCACTGTCTAATATCCTAGCTCTGCTTTCAAAGTTGCGCAATCGTTATACGAGCCTCAAACCGATCTATCGCTTAACTACGTGCCTGTTATTTCGAACGAAAACCATTTCGTCCTATGCGTCATCGTTTGAATAGCAGCGAGAGGAGAGTGACCAATCGACAAAGCAATTGTAAATGCCGCGGCTTTAAATCCTAACGACTTCTTCGATTTCTTTCGAACTCCTTCAGCTACACTCCTCGCCAAAAAAGTAGTTCACGCGTGCTATCTTTAATTTCTCAATGGCGCGTGCAAAGTTTCTCGCCTGTAACGTATAATACGAAAACATTATGAGCTCAGGTTAGGTAATCAGGTCCAGAAATGTGTTCTGCATGAGTATTTATTTGTTCTTCGATTAAATTTATGTTTTTTTATTATTCTATTATTATTGCTTAGTCCTCTCGGTTTTGGACGAACTTTTGGTTTTACATCTCTTATGTCTATTTCTCTTCTTATACAGGGTGGTTGGTAACTGGTGGTACAAGCGGAAAGGGGGTGATTCTACGCGAAAAAAGAAGTCGAAAATATGGAATAAAAATTTTTTTCTTTTTTTTTTAATTTTTCCATCGAGACGACGATCTACAGTGAGATCCGTTATAACGAGACGTGATAAAGTGGACGCGTACCGAGCGAAAATTCAAAGTCGATTTTCTCGAAAGCAAAGCCTCGAACGAAAAATTTTTATTCTATATTTTCGACTTCTTTTTTCGCGTAGAATCACCCCCTTTCCGTTTGTATCACCAGTTACCAACCACCCTGTGTGTCTACCTCCCCTCTTTTCCACTGTATTTTATTACACTACCTTGCTTATTCTACCTCTGAAAACTGAAACTAGAAACTATAAATTAGCAACTAATGACTAAAAACTATTGCCACATTGGTCTTTAGCCTCCTTGCTGTGCATCCTTCCCGTCGTTTGCCCTTCTCTGCCCGTCTCTTCTCTATTATTGCTTTCAGTTCTGTTAAACCTTCTCCAGTCTCACTTAGCGTTTTCCTATGTCCTTTGGTCCTCCCGTTATTTCACATTCTTCTATTACATGTCTCAGGTTTTCTTCTTTCCTTCTACATAGTCTGCATCTTGTTTTCCTCTCTTCTTTCCAGTATTCCCTCGCTTTGGTCTCGTTTTCGCATTTGAATCTTGCCAGTATTCTCCTGTCCTTCCACTTCATCCTCGAGTCTTCTAAGTACTTTGGTCATTTTTCTTTGACTATGTTTCTGTATATGTTTCTGTAGTGTATATTATGCTTGGATTCCCTTATCCTTTCCCCCTCTCTTCTGCTTCTCTCTTTCTTCTTTCTTCTATAATTTGGTCTGCTGTCACCCTTTCTTGCTCCTTTCTTGCTCCCATCTGTGTCCCTCCCTTTCTCACCTCTTCCAGTCCCTTCTTTCTCTTTCTTGCTCTTTTCCCTTCTTGGCCATTTCCTCATTCTCTCTCTCTCTCTCTCTTCCCTTTATACACTCCTTTCTACTAATTCCTTTTTTGATTCTAGGGCTTTCTCTTCGTACCTTGCTGCTCTTTTTAATGCTTTTTCTTTTACTTCTATTATCCTGCATTCTTTTATCAGTATATAATTTGGTATTGTCATATCTAAGCCTAATATCCATTTCGCATATCTCCTTTGTACTCTAATTAAATTTATGTACAGGACACTATTTATTCTGCCATTGATGAACCTGATACTTGTCTTGGCGAAATAACCGATGCCGGGCCAAACCATCACGCTGCCTCCTCCCATTTGTCGTCGAATTGCCGACATTGTCTCTTTTCTTATGTCATGAAAATAATATCGCGATCCATCAGAACCATCCAAGTGGAATCTTTTTTCGTCTGAAAATAGCACCCTTCTCCGTTTCTTTTTCCAATGCACCGTTTCTTTTGCAAAGCTTAAACGTTCTACTTTGTGTTTCGTTGTTAACGAAGGATTCCTTTTTCAATTTTAGCCTCTTAATATCTTCGCAGGATAGTAGAACTCGACGAACACTCGAAACACTGGCACTAACACTAGATTTTTCCATTGTTTGCTTCGTCGTTAATTGCCAGTTGGAAGCTACACTCAACATTGCTCGCTTATCACGATGGGATAACGATGACGGCCGACCAGTACTTTTCTTTTTGCCATAATCTTCAACATTTTTTAAGAAATTCCGTATTACTTTACGACTTCTTCTTATTATTTTCGATATTTCTGCTACTGATAACTGTTGCTGTTTTAGTTCAAGAATTTGCTTTTTTTCAGACTCGTTTAATTTTTTTCAGCATCCCATACTTACAAATTTATGTAATATTGTACTGTAATCTTTATTCGTTGATAAATCATGAACTACTGAACAGAGTGTGCTATCATTTCGTTCTTAAAATAAAAGAACTTTTTTGTTGCACACTAAACCTCATAATATTTTTAATTATTTTCAACCAACCGCTTATTCTGAGCTCGTAATATTTTCATATTATACGTAACAGACGAAAAATTTTACACGCGTCATTGAAAATTTAAAGATAGCACACCTGGGCTATCTTTTTGGCGAAGAGTGTACGTTGGAGGCTCGTAGAGTGACGGCCAGTGAAATAAATGGCAAGTGACAAATAAGCAAGCTGCTAGCAACCGTCCAGTAGTGTAATTAATTAACAAAATTGATGGAAATTTTTAGGCTTTGTGGTCAAGTAGGTAAAGAAAACAACTTTGCCCCACCACTCGCTGTTAACCAGCTACGTCCATCCATTTCTTCAATGGAGTTCGCTCATTCAGTAGCTTGTCACTTTGTCACAGTAGTTGCCGGATTCGTTTGCCAAGCGGACCACCTGCTTCACTGAAGTTTGGGGACAAGCGAAATTTCTCGTTCAACCAACGATTCGTACACGTACGTACATAAAGTGGCTGACGGAAGTATTCAAACGCTTACACTTACAAATTTCAATTAATAAAAAATGAGGTGCACTAAACTAATTTGTTCGAACAATTTGGCATGTATAATGATAGGAAAGTCTTAAGATTACACGAGTAAAATTTGAAAACGATTGAATAATATAGACAGGAGTTAGGATACGTTTATTAGAAACATTCATGACAAGTGTCTCACAAAAGTATTCTAACGCTGTAACACCGTTGATAGGTTTTCATCTTCCTTTGCACCGAATGTAAACATCATTGCTAAATGAAAATATTGGTACGTTCGCTTGATCTTAGGATATCGTTCCAGTAAGAGTAACGTAAAAGTGTGCACAGTAGTATTTAAAATGAATATCAAAAAGTCTGAAAGAAAAGTGTGAAAGAGAAATAATATTCCGATCACATGTGGATGGCAAATCATATAACGAGATTGCCGGAGTTGTGAACAGAAGTAAGTGAACGATACATTATATCATAAAAAAGTCAAAGAACGAGGGAACACTTGCAAACAAAGCTCGATACGTCGACCAAAGAAATTGACTGGAAGAGAGGAGAAAGTTATCATTGGCGAATTAAAAAAAAATCCTACTACATCCGCTCCTCAGCTCGCAAGTATGGTAGCTGATATGTTTTATAAAGAAGTTCACCCGGAATTATGTCGACCAATCTTACGAAACAGTGATTTTCATGGAGAGTATCGCGAAAGAAGCCATATATTAATGCGGTAAATTATAAAAAAAGATTGACTTCTGCAAAAATCTATATTAATAAAGATAATTCTTTTTGGAACGGTCATCTTTTCGGACGAGTCAAAATTTAACATTTTTGGCTCGGGTGGTCAAAATTATGTGTGGAGAAAACCAAATACGGAATTGGAAATTCGACATTTACATCAAACAATGAAACACGAAGGTAGATCGGTCATGGCGTGGGGATGCGTGGCTGCCAGTGGCACCGGAAATTTGATATTTATTGATGGAATACTTGATTAATATAAGTATTTAAATATTTTAAAAAATAATCTAAAGAAAGTGCCCGTAAATTAGGATTACTGAAAGATTTCCACTTCCAACAAGATAATGATCCTAAGCACACTGCTAGAATTGTGAAAGAATGGATCGTATATAACACACCACACGTGTTAATTACTCCACCGCAAAGTCCAGACGTAAATCCTATTGAAAATTTATAGGCTGAAATGGGAAAAAGATGAAATAAATTTCAGATAATCGATAATTTGAAAGCAAGTATTGAAAGATAAAATTATAAAAATATGGAACTCCGTTGAGTGTAGTTTTACAAAATCATTGGTTTACAGTATGGTACGTCGATTGAGACACACTATTGCTGCTAAAGTTGGTCCAACAAAATATCGATATCAAATAATTGAATAATATATGTAGCGTTCAAATACTTTTGTCAGTCACTTACAATCTTTTCCAAATTTTACTGATATAATCTTAAGACCTCCACCTTCCTACTGACATCTGTTTGTCTAAGCAAATTACTTTAATGTACATTATTTCGGTCATTCAAGCGTGCATATGCAAGCGTTCGAATACTTTCGTGAGCCACTGTATGTATTTACGAAAATGGACGAAAATACGACGTACAATGTGTTTATTGATATAATTAATAATAAATAATAAGATATAATAAAACCATAATACAGAAGATTGTTAAAAGCAAATTTTGTAAACCTTTTAAAAAACATCGATCAGATCGTCATAGCATCAGACGATTAATATTGCAACGATGAGAAACTCTCCAAAAATTCAATGATTTACTTTCTCTTCTCCAATCGCTCTAAATATAATTTTGCGAAAAATTCTTTCGTGAACATTAGAAACAAAAGACTAACGGAAGATTAGGTTAAACCTGAGACAAGATCAGCAACAAGAATTGCAGAAAATACGCAACACGGTCCATGATACACGATTTATACGAAGCAAGAAACAACAAACAACCAAGCGGAACGTTAACGCGAGTATCATCGTACGAAGTAACTGTAAGACGCGAGTACGTGAAAAGAAACGGTGAAATTACTTCGAATTTAGCGGTCAAACGATTCGTCGACTGGTATCATGGACAAGGTGCTCCTTCCTCTTCGCTATTCAACCTGTTCACGCGGGCTGTGCTCGCCCGCCTTACCTTGCCACTAGCCTTGCTTAGTGTTGTTTACTCGCGTCGACTGTTCGCCACACCGGGCTTCGTTTCTCCTGCTCGAGATCGAACGTACAAGCAACCGACCAACTCCCGCAATTATCCAGATTTCGCTCAGAAGGACGATCTTTCGTTTCGAGATTAATCGAACGACCATCAGCAGACGATCGCTTCTTGGAAGAGGCTAAAGGGATGAACGGATCGAGCGGACGAACGGAGAACTCGTCGAAACTTTCTCAAACTTTCGACAATCGTCGAAATTATGCCATTGAAACCGTTCGTTTGATTTTATTGGGTTACGCAATAGTTCCATGTTGGGGGTCAACGATGCCGATAGAACAGAAACACGAGACTCCTATGCACAAGGTGGAGCTCACTCAGAAGGGATACATTCAGGTGAGAAAGTTTGGAAAGCTTAGAAATCGCTTCATTTTCTTCTTTACAATGAGATCTACGATGTTTGCAAAAGTTTGCAAAGTGTCTGTTCTTCAGAAGGGAAAGAAATTCTTTTCCAAGTATTAACAAAAAGATATTACGCGATAGATGTACGACAAATTAACAAATTAAGATTGATTGAGTTATAACGAGTGATGGATTAAATCATAGTCAATTTAATTTCATTAAGTTCATCCATAGGATGCAAGATTTTGTTACGTTCGTTGCCCCGTTACCGATTATGTGGAAACGCATAATCAACTTATTCCAGACACGTAATCGTAACAGTCGTTCATTGGCTAATCCTGTACGCACATTTAAGGCTTTGATCGAACGTATGCCACTGGAAACGTTTAATGGAATCCGAGATCGTTAAAAGTAAAATGCCTGATTTGGTTACAGTATCGAACAAACCTGGTCATAGAAAGTTCTTGTCTTTTTTTCTACCACGTTATTTCCATTCGATCTGTTTTTTTTTTTTCTAATCTCGTTATGTAACTTTTCCACATCATTCGTGAACATTTTCATCGTGTCGAAGAAATAAATTTTTAAAAATTTGTCTACTGCTTAAAACGCAAGAACTCGCTGTAAAATTGTGCAATTCTTCGATTGCCACGTGCATATATTCGCCGATTTTTCGCATCTGTATAAACAGAGGAAACGTGGATTTGCAGTTTCTACGATGGGAGCTGCCAGTGCCGGAGTTGACGGAGTTCACCTTCTGCCTGTGGATGCAATCGAATGATCTAACTCACTCTCATCCCATATTCTCCTACTCGAGTAAGTAGACTCAAAGAACGTCGATGCGAACGTTTCTCCGTTTCGTGATTATCTTCTGGCCCCTTTCGTGCCTTTACGCAGCCAAGCAAACAGCCACGAAAAGCATTTTCACCGCTCAGAGAGTCGCTGGCTCGTGCCGGCTAGTCGCGTTTCGTTCGCTCGTTTTGACCAAGTGGTATTTAATGTTGCAAAGATGAAGTGTTAATAACTGTTTACGCGATTGCTTCCGACAGAAGACGAGCGAGAGCGACTGGTACGATCGTGGATAGCGCCACATGGCAGGAGCATTCACCTTGAGATAGGAGGAAAACAGGTGCTCGCGATGCCGACCAATATTCTAGAGAATCGATGGTACCATTTCTGTCTCAGTTGGGAGAACCAGGCCGGGCTTTATGGACTCTGGATCAACGGCCAGCTCTGGGCTCAAGGTCATTCCGATCAGGTTCGTCGAATTTTCATCTATTTTGCAAAGAAGGACGATGAGAAAGTGAGGAATTTCTATCACTTCGTATGCTACTTGTTCTCTAAAATTCTAACAACACCATACCAAGGTCATACCAAGTAGGTCGTAAGTTATCAAAAGTGCAATCATTCGTGGCAGACCCAATGGGAAAATTCTAAAAATGTAAATGAAATTGGTGGTGCCAATGCGTAATAGTTTGCCTTAACACTTTGACTGCCACGCCAAAATCACGTGTTTCATCTCAGGACGTCACGGGAGTATTTTTATTATTCAAAGCATATGATGGCAAAATAATGATGAATTGATGATATAAGACAACATTCTTCCCCGATGGACCGTTTATCTTACTGGTGGTCACGGGTGACCACCGTGACGCCTCGGTAACAGTTGATAGCGACATATTATAACAAGGCTTCGTTTATTTCAACAAACCATTCGCTTTCGTTATTTCGTCGTAGGCAAAACGCGCGGAATATATTGTTGAAACGTGTAGAAGATATTAGTAAACAGTATTAGGATCATTTTTATGATTTCGACGAAACATTCGGCTGAAATGGTACAGGTCCGCAAGAAAAATTATGTTTGCGATAAACCAATGGTAGTGTAGATTACAAGAGAGGAAAATGTGCTGTAGATTTATCGGATCAAATGATAGCATACTCTACACCACAAAGAAGAACCCTCAAGTGGTATATAAAATTAGCTTTAGAGTTATTGTTAAATACATCAATTTCAAACGCGATGATACTCTATAAACAAGCAACAAAACTAAAAATCAAGTTATCAGATTTTAGAATGGCACTCGCAATGCACCTTACGCAGTGCCATTCGCCAGAACCGTCAAATATACTTATTCGACAAAGATTGCGACACGAAGTGCAGAAGAAAGAAGGGCAAGCGTACCTGGCACGAAAATTTTGCAGAGAGTGGTATAAAAAGAATGTTAAACAGTTAGGATGAAAAATTGCTATGAATCGGACGAAAAAGGTGATCACCTATCGTCCAGATTGTATCGATGAGCCACATTTATGTTTAAAGTGTTTTAACACGGTGCACCGTCAGTTGCAAGATTTCTTCTCATTTTTTTATTAATGTCCTAATAAAAATGTTTAATTGTCCAATGGACCACTTTTAATTTCAAAGTTTCTTCTATTTATCGGTTATATTCGAAATGCCCAAACTGTCAATTTTCATTCAATTTTTACAATTGTAAGAAGTTGAAGTGGTTCAATGACCACCGTGGCGTCACAGGAGAAACCGTGACCAACGTGGCAGTCAAAGTGTTAAGGTATTCGAGTCGAAGAATGGTTGATTCAAAAGATATTCTAACTTTGATTCTTGCGAGTGTTATCGTATGAAAGACGAGGAAAGATAGCGCAGGTGTTTCTACGTTCTCCTTGTCTTTCGTACATTTAACTTGACGAAGTTAACATGGTATACCTTTTAAACTTATCGCATACGGGTATACCTTAATACTTTTCTCTAAATAATTAAAAACAAACTGCATCGAGCGATGCATGAAGAAAAATGTACATATAATTCCATTCAAAAAAGACTATGGTAGCCTTGAAATCCCGAAAACGTATTCACCTAGACAAATCTGGTGGTCGTCGGAACACGTCCCCCTTGAAACAGAACAAGTTTTATCTGAAACGCTTTCTCGAATAACGTATCGACTATTGTCAATCTGCGAATATAAAATTAAAGTTTGAACCATTGCAAAATTTTCATCAGGAAGGATTAAAAATCCGCGGACATTGCACAAGTACGAGAAGTACGTACTCATCGGTTTAGCAGATTTTACTTGTTGCAACATCAGATAACTCGTTCGCGCCTTGTGCTCCTCCATCAAACTTGTTATTTCTCTCTCTCTCTTTCTCTCTCGCTCTCTCTTTGCCTCTCTCTCTCTCTCTCTTTCGTAGCCGGCAATTTCATTGACGGAAGCCTTCAAGAGAGGAAAATGTGCTGTAGATTTATCGGATCAAATGATAGCATACTCTACACCACAAAGAAGAACCTTCAAGTGGTATATAAAATTAGCTTTAGAGTTATTGTTAAATACATCAATTTCAAACGCGATGATACTCTATAAACAAGCAACAAAACTAAAAATCAAGTTATCAGATTTTAGAATGGCACTCGCAATGCACCTTACGCAGTGCCATTCGCCAGAGCCGTCAAATATACTTATTCGACAAAGATTGCGACGCGAAATGCAGAAGAAAGAAGGGCAAGCGTACCTGGCACGAAAATTTTGCAGAGAGTGGTATAAAAAGAATGTTAAACAGTTAGGATGAAAAATTGCTATGAATCGGACGAAAAAGGTGATCACCTATCGTCCAGATTGTATCGATGAGCCACATTTATGTTTAAAGTGTTTTAACACGGTGCACCGTCAGTTGCAAGATTTCTTCTCATTTTTTTATTAATGTCCTAATAAAAATGTTTAATTGTCCAATGGACCACTTTTAATTTCAAAGTTTCTTCTATTTATCGGTTATATTCGAAATGCCCAAACTGTCAATTTTCATTCAATTTTTACAATTGTAAGAAGTTGAAGTGGTTCAATGACCACCGTGGCGTCACAGGAGAAACCGTGACCAACGTGGCAGTCAAAGTGTTAATTCGTCGCGTTCCGTCGTAATTAATTAACAACTTCAACAATATCTTCTTACCTACCCCATCACAAAATTATAGATTTTTCTTTATAATATAATAGCGTTATAGCTTTATGATATAATAGCGTTCGAATATTTGCATTTCACGTATTCGTGTGGAGGCAAAAATGTTTCGACTCGCCTTTCAGGACACTGACAATTTCATCCACGCTTCTTACAACTTTCCCATCAGATTTCCCACAAATGATTGTGTTTTTACGATACTTTATTACGGCTTACATAATGTGCCTGAAGGGATAGAAATTTCCCATTTTCTGACTATTCTCCGCTACGCGGAATTTCCCATAGAAATCTGACTTACTACGCTGCTGAAAGGCAAATTATTTGTACGAAACTCGTGATCGATTTTAGACGATAGGACAGAGGATCCCTAGTGGAGGAGACATCGTGCTGGGCCAGGAGTACACGGACTTTGACAAAGGGCTGGAGGACGGTATCGAGGGTTCTGTATTGGGCTTCAACCTTCTTCTAGCTTCGGCTTTCGATAACCCGCACACAGACTACCAGCTCGAAGCCTCCTACGATTCGACTCGGGTGTCCACCTCGAGTTACGCCACGGTTCCGCTTTTTGCGAGGATTCCAACGAAACTGATGCAACGCGCCATCGATTATGGAACGCGAACGAGAACGCCTTACACATTCCTGCCGACTAATTCCAATAAACTTCGAGGACGTGGCTACGACAAGAACGCCGTGTCTCTGCCTCTGCTGACCGGCACAGCTAAATCCATCTCTTCTGGAACGACCGACCCATGGCGCGATGCTACGAGCTTAGAACTGTCCAGGTTGCAAGATCAACCTCTAGGACTGCAATTGATAACATTGTCGTACACACACTGTGAAATTGGTAGAGGAAGTCCTTACATCGGTGGTAAGCTGATGTTGATCTCGTGGACCAGAACTGCGGTTCGTATTTTTGGTGGAGCTTTGTTGAAGAACGTTGCCAGCGATTGTGGCAATTTCTAAGAATTTGCAGCAGCAGCTCTCTCACACTGTACGATAGAATCGAAATTGCTGTAGACACAGCCAGTAACCACGTTTTCGAACGTAGAGAAAGCGTTTAAATTTAAAGAGTGGGGCATCCGACTGGAGTTGTAAGGTCGTCGTCGCCAATATGAACATACGCATATGTATTATATGCGCGTGAAAGATGGAACATTGGTGTAAACGTATTTACATGTAATGTCACAGTTACTCGTCGTATCGAAGTTCCAACGTCTCTGTATTTATATCAGATTCAAACCCGAGTGATTCATATTGTTGTGCCTTGGAGTGTCAACATTGCTTTGATTTGCTAGTTTCAAAAGTATTGGCTTGGCAACTAAGTGATTACGGATTTTGTCAATACCGCCTAATGACAAAATCCGCAATCACTTAGTTGCCAACTATTTCTGTATTTCTTTGCCATTTCCATATTTATCGAATGGTATAAGAGGGTACGATTTAAGTGTCGTGTCGCTGAAACGAATCTGTGAACGTATCAGGTTATGTCAAAAGTTTCTTTCGTCTTATAAGGAAGTAGCAGATGCACAACATTTTTTCTTTTATATTATTTTATTGAATTATGTTTGATCTATTTTATTCTATTACTACAAAATGGATCATACATAAAATAGTATAAAATAAAAAATGTTGTGCATCTATTGTTTCACTCATGAAACGAAAGAAACTTTTCGGACAATCTAATACATGTTACAAGGTATTTGTCAGAAGCTATACCTTTGGGTAACAAAGATCATGCTATTTTATAAACTATAATACGTACACACGATGCGAGAACATCTATACCAATGTATAGCACTAACTGTATACGTATGTTTAAGACTAGTATTCACGCTGTTTATTTATTTTTCACTAACAATGTATGTATTAACAACGTATGTTTGCAATAAATGTCTTGTACTTCTCTATACATTTTTAGATTGCCTTCATATTTTGCTGTTACAATCGCGATAATCGTTACACTGCTAGTTCAGAAATTTCAGATTGTACATAACACGTTTATAAAACGTTCCGACGATTTGATGACATTTATGCGTTATGCTGTTAACACTAGAACGACCACACCAGTGAAATTGACTGGTTTTACAATTTTATTTTCAAATTTCCACTTCGTGTTATATTCTTTTCCGCAATGATGTAATGACTTTCGCGACGATAACTAAAAGAATAATATAATGAATTTTATTTTGCCTTGTTATTTCTATACTTAAACTCCCCCCTCGACATTTTTTTTTTTTTTTTTGATAACTGTATTATCACGTAAATAATTATTGTATACTCGATACAGCGTCCTTATGATATTCAACACTGAATCATCGATCACGCACCCCATTTTTTTTGTTTTTTGGTTATCTTCTGCGCTCCTCGATATTATTACTGTTAATAATATTTTCGATAAAAATAATAACTAATTATTGCACCTGGGCCCATAACCTGTTGCGATCCTACCTCTGAGTATAGAAATAATAACATTTTGTTTTTATGTATTCAAACTGAAAATAATTTTGCATCAAGGCTATTTATACCAATACCAGTGAAAATGACTGGTACTTGTCGAAGTGTAAAAGGGTGCTGCGATCTGTTTATCGAACCCCAATTAACCAGTTTCCTCGTTTTCTACAACTTGCCACGCGTTTTTCAAATTTTTCGATATGACGATATCAGTTATCAGGAAAATTCCGGATCGATCGCTGGATCGCTAGATGCTAACAATAAAAACACCACACCAGTCAAAATGACTGGTTTATGACTGGCCCAGATGGATTAATAATACTAAAAATGCACTATATAACATGGAATTCCTTCCGTAAGAGAGTAATAAATCAATAAATATAAAAATATTGTATTATTAGGTATTTTTTAAACACCAGTCGTTTTCACTGGATTTGATAGAAATATCTTCGTGTTAACTATCGGTAGTGCTAGTGTTAAACACACGGTAAGCATCGTGTACCATTGCGTTTAGTTTGCGATCGGCGAACCATAATCTCGTTTCATAGCGCGTCCCAATCGAATTTCGCGAAAGAAACGCGAGAATACGGGTGGTTGCGACACCCGTAGAAATCGAATAGAAAACGGAAAGCTACGAACACCACGAGCTTTCCTTTTACCTTATTTATTTTCCGTTTGTGTTTCTTCCTATGTATATTCAAATTATCGATCGATTATCAATAAATAGTCGTATACAATTTTCACCTAACGTATGATCTTCAAAAGGAACGCAATATTTGCGCAATGATCTAATCTTCCTAATTATCAGCGAAGACTAACAATTACCTACTACTAACAATTAAGTTTCTTTCGTTTCATAAGCTGATAATAGATGCGCAACAATTTCTGTTTCATATTATTTTACTAAATTAAGTATGAACCATATCGTTCTATTTCTATTATTATCTTCGTGCATACTTCAATAAACTAATATAAAACAAAAACATTGCGCGTGTATTATTTCCTTATAAAACGAAAGAAACTTTCCGGACAAGCTAATAGTTGTAAATAAAAGAATAGAAAATTCACGTAAAACCACTCCAAACTGGAGCATCTGCTTAAGCAACGATTAAACAAGTATATCACCGGCAATTTAGCGATGAGAGGCAGCGTCATTGTTTCGCATCTCGCTCGCTGCGAGATAAAATCTATGTGCAACAGCTTACTGCCGCAATCTCGGAAAAACCCGAGAGTAGAAGAAACGCGTGCAACGTTAGAAAACCGAGGACAGATCGATATCGAGGCGAGGCGAGGTAAAAAAGGTCGCACGAGTAGCTATTTACGTGCAACTTGAAACTCAGCCAGGAATACCGGTGTGTCGATCGTTATGGGAAATATGCAGAAAACGGTTCGCGTTTTCGACCTATTTCCTGGCTTTCTTTCCATAGCGGTCCGCCAGCACTTTCGCCACAGTCGGATACGTACAACGTCATGCACGCACGGTTATAACAACGAGACCAGACCATACCAGACAGCCCGGTAATTCGTCTACGAGTTTCGTAATCTTTCTCACGAGTTACGTTCCGTTACACGGTCTTTGGATCCACCGATGCATAGATCTTTAACGCGGTTCTTATTTCACGTGTTCATCTGTGTATTTGCATATGTTGTTGACATACGTTTAACCGTATGTTGGCAATGGAAATACGACGCATATCTAGAAAGTAATCTCCGATTGGAGAAGATTGGAAAAGAAACACAGGTTGCTCGATCAAGATGTTTGCCGTTGTTTCGTGTAACTTTAAGATATCGGCCATCAGGCGAGCGATAAATTCTGTGTGATAAAATTATTTTATCGTAAGATTGTGAAGGGGAAAAAAGTATTATAACTAGCTTATAAAGTATATTATTTATAATATTATTATTTCTATGATATTTATATTATTAACACTTTGACTGCCACGCCGCAATCACGTGTTTCGCTCAGGACGCC